TCGTCTTCTGGTGGAACCGATCTTCGAATCTCTTCACGCAACACTTTCACTCTAAATGGAAGTATGCTCAACAATTTTGAAACAAGAGAATCCTCGAAACCCAACTTTTCTTCGTGGACTTCCTCGTGTCTTCTTCTTTTTTTACTCATCCACTAATCGCATTTATCCAACCTTTAGATGCGTTAATTTAAGTTATTTTTATCTTTTACTGCACATGTTCCTCTTCTCAATTGGACTCCTGTTCGTATTCTCAAGTTCATCCTTACTCATTTTTGTTCGTATTCTTCTTCTCATTATTATTATTTAAAATATACTTTTAACTCTGATTATGATATGATTCTTTTTCTTTTCATCAGTATCAATACAACGGTCACAACTGTGTTGATTATTTGTATAATTTTTCTTCTCCTTTTATCAACTATCAATATCAATATTATTATGAGTATTGTCTCCCTAAGCCCATATTAGAATACACACATTGCTCTCTTTCTGATTAGTTGAATTCTTTTCTTATTTTATCCTTCATTTTTTATTGAACTGTCAGAGCATCTTTTCCAATATGACAGCATTTTGGTTTCACTTGCAGATAATTACTGTCCAACATACCAAATAAGACTAGTTATAGACAATATAGTTCTGTAAAGGGCAAAAAATGTAACTTTTGGCCTGATACAATTTTCCCTGCGCTTTTAACTGACAAACTGTTTACGTTTTTGGCATTATTTTCACTTCATTTGAAACTCCCAGTTAAGGAGTTTTATAAATTGGCTTCACGGGAATCCCAAGGACTGCTGGATTGTGCGAAGAAGAGTTCGGCTCACCATCCTTGATGAGCTTGTATGTGTACAGTTGTGGAGGAAATCGTCAAAGTCGGTAATGTAAATTTTAATACAGTACTAAACTCTAGATTGAATGAGGTGATGTAACGAATGATAATACAGTTTCTCCACAATTATATGAGACGAATTGACGATACTCTTAAATCTCATTTACCCTTGCTTCTGAAAATGTTTTTTTCGTTTAGGGCGCTAGTCTCTAAACAGAATATTATTGAAAATCAACGAAAACTGATAACACTTTTCTGCACACATGTGGACTGGATAATTATACTCTAAGACTGCGCAACTCTTCCTGCATGACAAACTTTACAAAAGGTCAACTTGCAAAATTCTGACATAGCGCCAGACAAATTAGATTTTCGGAATAGAGCCACAACTTTTAAAGCGATTCTTTGACAATGCCGTCCCCATTCGTCATGATCTGGTCGAAATTGATCGCAAAATTATGCTTTAGGACCAGTTTGTGAAAGAATATGAAGCTGATGAACTCTGGAAAGGTACCTTCAGATGGAAACCTAACCCTCCGTGGGCTTGCTGGCCACCTCGCCAGAAGGCTTTAGTCGCGTTTTGCTGATGACGAGTTCGAGACCGCGCTGTAGGTCGACTGCTGCCTTAGCGACCGGAGGAGGAGACCAGTTCTTCGTCTCCATTTTGTCCATCTTGTCCATGCACAACGGGATTTCCCAACTCGGCGAGTCGCTACGAAATAGGGCCTAGTTTGTGCAATCCTGACCAACGCTTTCGTAGGTCTCGCCGACAGACTATGCCAGCCTC